CCCCCCCCCCACCCTCTTATTTGCAACGGGCATGTGAGTCACCTGGTAGACTGTCTCATAATGGTATAGTCAGCATAATCTTGTGTCGAAAGCTTTGCGTGACTGACGTCGCTGTTGTTCCAAAGTTCTACACTGGATCGGACATTTACCTCATCCGCGCTAGATCCCTTTTTTTCGATGTGTGGATGGGAAGCTATGAACATCAGAAAACAAAGCCCAAGACCGTATCAATTGAGATCACTTCGCTCATTTGAAATGTTTATTGGAAGATCTCATCATCGACAACATTGAGAGAATGAATGAATACTAGAAATGTTGCTCATCAAAATTTCTAAACAAGTACGATTGGTCAAAATCGCATCTTTTTGTGGACAACCCGATACCATTATTTTCGTCTATACTTTCACCTTCGTGTATAAATAATAACAACGAAAGGATGACGCTCCTTTGTATAATCAATCAACCATTACGATAGGAATGGTTTGTGAGATTTCTCCGTGGGATGGATCTTTTGCCCCATGTATGTATGTCATATTGGGTGCTGCCAACTTAAAAACAACCTGCACAGGGTGCGATAAGTGTTCGAAAATTGTCTGCATTGTATGACATACTCAGAGCTGGCCATCTGAAGTACAGCAGATGCCTTGTCTAGATCATGTAGACCGCAAAGCTCTGGATGCAAATAGTCCGATTAGTCTCAGTATTGGAACCAACACAACCAAACCCATTTCATGCCGTTTCTATAGACATGTTCCCTTACGAATAAATACAACAATTACAAGCGATTCTCGGAAGACGCTATTTCTCCAAATTCACAGTTTTTTTGCTAACGATTATCTGTTCTGTACCATCACTTTCATTGTTTAACTTGAAATAGGTACCTCAAAATAATCGCGGAGTAAGCGACACATTCATCTGGACATCACGTGAGGAATCTACTCAAGAGATTCAGTCTCTAATCAGCGTGTGTTGACGGTGACAGCAAAGCTCTCTGCTCTGTTCGGTTTATCAGATCTCTGACTTCTTCAAAGCTGGTACCCAAATCTCACTTGTGGAAGAAGGTCAAAACCTGTGCCACACCCTTTCTGCAGCATGCACTAACCACGCACAATTCGTACTTCTTGTAAAAATTCTTCCTGTTTTTTCTCATCCTCGCGAACCTCAGATACCTCATATCCTTCTTTCATTGAGAGTTAAGGAAACAGTGGAATCAAGCTCGTTCCTTTCCGTTCTCTGTGAATGAAAACAGACTAGTAACCGACAATTTTGTCTGGCTCACTCTCGCACTGCTCGAAAATCCGTGTTACGATGACGACGTCGTCCATTAAGAGAAAATGCTGAGCGTCGACCTCGATTTGTATGCCTTTCCATTTCATTTCTCTACATCATAGTCACTGGGATTCGAGAAAAACACTGTGAAACGTTTTACTTTCGAGGCACTTCAATGGGTTTTGCGAAAGTTTTAATGGAACGAGCAGCCGTTTTAAATTTCTATACTGTCAGTTCACTTAAGGTGGCTCAATTAGGAAGCTGATAGATCTCCGAAAGATTCAGATGTGTAGGACCACAATGGGCTCATCACACGTTACCGTTTGCTCAAAATGCTCAAAACCCCATGCTGTAACACAAGTAATTGTAAACAAAAGCGGCTCCGCCGTTTCTTCAAGAAGTAATACCTACCGAAGAAATGGAGAAGAAAAATTTCAGTTAATTCTGATTAAGTGATTTCAGTGTGTCTGACTTATCTGGCTAGTGCTATAGTTGCTGTAATGATCGTCTCAATGTTTTTAAATGCTCTGCACAAAGATGTTGTCAACAGGTATGTTATATGTAGTAAGTTATCCGTTACTTCCTACTTAAAGTAAGAAACAGTATCATGTTTGCCTTCTTGCTCTCTGCTGTACCTTGCGTGCGTGCTTTGCAAGGCGCGTCAATCAGATTAATGTATTTTTCAATAGGCTAGAGGTGGTATAGTTGCAGGTGGCGCACTGTAACTCACGCACTGTCCAAAGATTGCATCTCGGATTGACTCAGCCGGTGTCAACCAAGTTCTGCATCTTTGGTGGTCCGTTGATTGGTAACCAGACTCGTCTGGGAGTATAATTTAGGGTTGTCGGGAAAGTTTACTCCGATTTTCGAGACACCTTTTAGTGAAAATTTCCATATGAACAAAGTTGTCCGCCAAACATTATATCCTCCATTCTGTTCAGTAATGGTTTGCCATCTTCTTGTAGGTTTCATTATCCCACTTTCCTAGAAAGTTATAGACTTAGAATCGAAAAAAGCCCTCTCGCGTGCTTTTTGCAGTCCTCCAGCGGATTAAACGATTTTCCATTCTAGGAACTCTGTAGGAACCCCAACAAGCGGTAGTCTGTTGGAGACTGTACGGACTTCACGAGGGGTGTGGTGGAACATCCCACCCAAGCCCCAGCAATTTTTGACGAGTACCCAAAAATACGCGTGGTGCGGAGTTGTCCTTTTGGAAGACAACGCCTCCACGATTAGCCAGCTTTGGGCATTTCTGTTCTATCGCTGTCTTTGAATTGTTCAGCTGAGTACAGTACCTTTCCGAAGTTATCGTTTGGCGTTATGGCAACAGCTCATTATGGATGCAACACAGCATAATCTTCTGCACCTGGATTTTGACTTCTGGCATGGTTTGTGACGGCTCACTGGGAGCGCTCACGATCGTTTCCTTCGTTTCCTTCGTTTCCTCTCCACTTTGTTGTGCGCGACCCACTTTTTGCCCCCCCCCCTCCACCCCGTTCATACATTTCAGGAACAGCTCATTTTTGTTTCCTTTTAGCAACGAGTTGCACATGGAGGCGCGGTCCACTATATTGCGTTCGAGCTCAGTTTGTGAGGTACCCAAACATCAAGGCGCTTAACAAAACCAAGTTTCAGCATTAAAAACTGGATCACTTCTTCTTTGTTTTTAAGAAATTCCACACGACGTCTCCCATCATATTAACAGAATGTGCGCTTCCACACTAACGCAACATGGTCGAGGAGGCACTTTTTTGATACAGATGTTTCTTACAACCTTCACTAGCCCATTTTTGGGTTGAGAAATGGTAGGAATCCTTCCTTCCTGGATCCTCCTTTGTGAAGCTATTTCGCCGTTGTGAGGGTCAAGTTTTTCCACTTCTTGCGGCAGGGTCTTCTTCTGTTGCTCCAATAATGAATACGTCATCAACGTAATGCCTTTTAACATATTTCCACAAGCTAATGATGACTTCGCGATATAATTCAAGAATATGACTCCTTACATAAATGCTACACGATTTCCATTGCGAGGCCTCATTTTTGCTTTTAGATTTTATGGTAGAAGGTAAAAGTGCTGCATTACAGTGTTACTTCGTTAAAACCGTAACTTCGATGGCGGAAAATACCATCATCGCGATATGATCTTTACTATGCGCGTTGAGAGATAACATCCATAGCTTGCACTGTTCCCGCGTTCTTTACGTTCCCATATAAGGATACTATATCAAAGCTCGCGTCGGTACTAGACGAGGGTGAAGCGACAAAATGAATTCATCAACATCAGTAACGTGTGCTTTAACGTATCGCAAAATTTGAACGCGGACGGAATTAAGTTGGCTTAATGTTGTTTGCTCTGGCCGCTTTCGCAACGCATATGTAAAATGGGCGTCGCCGCACTTATAGCTGACTCCCATATCTGACTAATTTTTTTCATGTTTTCGATATTTTCAGAGGTAAAGCACCTATATTCGACGCTCCAATTCTAAAGCAAACGCTGAGAAACTGCAGAAACCCGAAAATCATGCTGTTAGTACCTCTCACAGTTTTTAACGGCTTTGAGCAAGCTTTCGTGATTGGGATTTTCACAAAGGTAGAAGTGTGATGACATTATTTGATGATGGAGCTCTATACTTTCTACTCCTCTTCGTTTTCAGGCATTTGTTGGATGTGGATTAGGCGTTCCCCAAATAGGTTTCGTGTGCACCGCATTCGGTATATCAGATGCAATTTGCAGTTTAGTGTTTGGTCCCTTGATTAAGTTATTCGGTCGGATGCCACTGTTCGTTTTTGGGGCTGTGAACAATATGCTAATGATTGTTACTCTAATGGTATGTGCCTCATTGTTTCAAGCTATGAAATGTCTAGGTGTTTCCCAGGCACACCTTATTCTTTCAGATTTGGCCTCTGAATCCTGCTGATAAAGCGATACTTTATGTAGCCGCTACTGTATGGGGTATGGCAGATGGCGTATGGAATACTCAAATAAACGGTTTCTCAATCCTCTTTTTCTTTACAAATACACTTCACGTTGTGCTTCCAAAAGCATTAGTCTTAGTTCTGGTTTCAGTTCTTTTTGGCTACTCCGAGTAAATGGGCTTTCTATTTACTCGGAATAGCCGATAAATTATATTCATTGTTGTTCGCATATATTCATGTACTCACTGTTCAGTAGTCTTTGACTATGCAGGGCAGAGCTAAAGAAATGGTAGCACTGTTTTTTCGATATTAGCTTTACTGAATGGTATATTGTTAGTTCTACGAAGCTTACCATTAGTGAAGTCGTGGATTGTCACTGTGAGAAAAAACCATAAGTAATTTTATTCTGTTGCTCTGGTAAGCGCAGGCGCAGAGATGGAGTAATTGTATGGATTTCAATTTAATGATGCTTTAGGATTTTGGGTCGCACTCGTGGGTAGGCAATCGCTTGATCTCGCATTTACCAGCTATCGTTTTTGGGAGTCCATCGGTCTGGCTGCTGGATTTGCTATGTCCAGGCTGTGTTCCGTCGAAACAGTTCTGCTCATTTTATTCTGCCTTCTGTTGTTGGGCATGATAGGCTATTGTGCTATAGAGCTTTATGATGATGTTACGGTGAGTATATTCTTCTTCGGTGCTTTCGCGCCCTTACTTTTTTCTCACGGCGAACGTCTTAACGAAAACGATAAAAATGCGGCTGAGGGATCGCTGTTCACTCTTAGAGGATAGAGAACAATTTTAAAATGGTCGTACTAACAGTTCCTCGATACTATGGGAAATATAAGCTGCGAGTCTCAATCTGATTCAATGTCTACCTTGCTTCTTTGAACCTCATAATCACACATCATTCATCTCGCGAACGGGTACTACTGCTTACTGAAGGACTAGTGATGATGTTCTCTGCATTTTTTATTCGGATTTCCCGTCTCTCAACTGATTTCTGTTCGCATGCTAGTATTGTCCGAGAGGACATGAACTTATAATGCCGAATTTCATCAATTTTATTCATTGAAAGCTGTAGGGTTTTTTGGGGTCTCGCATTGTCTAATACAATTCTGGTTTAATCGGGATTAAATATTACTCAGTGATCTTGGTTATCTTATTATTAACTAGCCATGATACTTGATGCTTATTAATTATTGGTGTCGCTCTTACAAGCCCTAAATCTTCTTTGCATCAAATGCAGTGCTTTCGGAACAAAAGTATCGTTTTCTTAAGGGAGAAGGAAGTGGGCTGTACTATCTCGTCTCTGGGTGTAGAGGATAGCGTCCGATCATAGACCAGTAGCTTTGAAAACTCAGTACATGCTATAATTGCACTTATTTCAGAGTTATTGCTCAAAGCTGGCGAGTGTTTGTTATATAAGGAAGGTGGATGGAACGAAATCTGAAATGTCACTGATCGCTCCAAACGTTTACTAGCTACTGCATTTTATTGGAATTCTTAATATATGTGTACATGTGTGTATTGTACAAAAACCATTTGTGTAATGTTTTGGAATTTTTGTAACGTCGAGTCAAAACCAAGAAATTCGGGAACCACACAGGTGCCTTGCTCTGATTGAGCGGATCACGGTGGACCTCCTGACTACCTCACATCAGTACAGATAAAATCCTCACTATAATTTTATCTGAAGCTTAGCTTCTTTGGTAGCAAACCGATACTGGTCAAAGTGAAAGGTGAAGTGATCGGATACGTAAATGCAACTTTTCAGGTGAATAAGTAACGTCTGGAATGTTCTTGTGGAGAATGTTTTATTTGATAAGGAAAGGTATTGGTGCAGTGAACTATCACTTACTATTTTTTTTCTTGTTATGAGGCATCACGCCGTTAATACGCCGTTTGCTGAAGAACTAAAACGGGTATCAAGTTGTTTGAAAAACGAAGTGACCTCTGTCGCTTTTCAAACAACGTGAAACCGCTTTTAGGTCTACAGCAAACGTCGTACTGTGATGCCTCACAATAAAAAACTAGTTATCGAAAAGGATAATAAGACTGGTCTCTCGGCACAACCCAGACGAGAATACAGTTCATTGACAGAAGTTTGAAAGAATTGTCCTCTTGTGCATCATTCGCATGCGATATGATCAGCCCAATATTGAGGAGTTACGCTACATAACCAAGCGAGAAATTGCTTCGCGTTACCCCCGTTGTATGAATTTCTCTTCAAAAGGAAGTATGATAGTAAAGGCCCGGCATGATCTAGTTGACCTCATAATAGAACCGTGTAGGTCCAGCGCTCCATCGTCAAGAAGGAAGACATAAAAAATCTACAGCATAGGCCTTCTCAGGTGTGACAGGGTGGTTTGAAGTCAGAGGAACTGCAAGGATTTTAATGAATGAACGTAAACTCGCACAGAATATTCTCGAAGTGTGTCAACTGAGAATCAAATCAGGTAGGAAGCATGAATTCTGGAACGGTAAATGATGTAGTTTTGTTTCACGATCTTACAAGGGAAGGATCCCCAGTCGAAGTGGACTGCTAGACGCATTTTTTGATGCTGATTTCGAATCTGCATTCAAAATCTGCCAAACGACTCTCTGAACGAAGTTATAAAGGTGGATTCCGGGAGCGCTCAACAGTAGAAAGCACAAACTGGTCGCTGGTAGTTCAGCAGTGGCGGCTTGCAGTAGAGGTAAGCGTGAAGCTTCGTAGGTATAGAACCAAGGATCGGGTTAGGTGGGCGACGCCGATTTTGCACTCTGCAAGACAGTGTTACATTGATTGTTGACATTGTTCTTTGATGCGCGCCCTGTTAAAGAATAGGCGTATTTGGTTTGTTTTTTCCTGTCTTGTGCATGTGAGTACGATCTGTGCTATTGCGTGCGCACATCTGCCGCACATATTATTTTGGCTTCAGCTCCCTTATAGAAGTCGTAAAACCGCCAAATATAATTGGTGCAATAGTGCAATAAAAACCCACTATGAGCTGTTCTATTTGGAAAGGTGTTGGATCAAGATGTATTGCTAGTTCTGTGTACCTGTGTGAATTTGAAGTATCTTCTTTGGTCCTGCCATTATAACTCCATTTGGGGTTGGAAGTGGTAGTACGTTGGATAAGTGGTACAGGTGTGAAACGCCATTCTGCATCAATCTTGTGAGTACATTTTCCATGCTGTTGAGGTGCCTCGGTGTGATGTTTCGTTTCAGAATGCCCACCCTGTAATATGTTTCTAAACTGCCGTAATTTTTGCGTTCTTGAAGCGCCTCAAGCCCTCCGTCATAGAACATTATGACGGCATCCTACGAACTGCCTTCAACTCTTTCGAAACCCTTGGCTCATATACGTCTCCCTTATGTTAGGCCAGGTACCTGAGATTTGGAAGGAGGCGTTGGTGACTTCAATCAATAAAGTTTCTGGAGCTCGGTCTGTCTCTGACTCTAGACCCACATCACCCCTACCCCGTCAAAGTTATGGAGAGAATTATAGAGGATAAGTTGTGTCTTGGTGTCTCAGATCCAAAATAATACCACCTGATCAGCATGGATTTCTCCCTGATGTGAGACCGCTACTAGTCTAGTTGACAGTCTACTTGATTGGTGTCTTGCTTTGAATCAAGGTGAATCGGTCGATGTGGTTAACGTTTTATCCAAGGCATTCGATAGGGTGAGCCACCGTATTTTGCTACAGAAATTGGAAAGACTCGGTATAGGAGGTTGTTTACCGGAATGGCTGAGATCTTACTTAAATTTGCCTTATATGACTGTCAGATTAGGGTATTGCTTCTCAGAAAGGCACCACTGTGGGGGGGGGGGGGGGGGGTGTACCTCAGGGGGCGGTCCCATCCCCCCTTCTGTTTTCGCTATATACAACGGAGCTGCCACAAATCCTCAATACATCGCAGCACATCGAGTTGCAAATCTATGCAGATGACGTGAAATGGTACGGCGTTTATGACGGCTGTAACTATGATGAGGTTAGCTCAGCCTTGAAGTTTTCCATTGGAAAGCTAAACGTTTGGGCGTCAGAACTCGACTTAGCAATAAACTTGAGTGAGTGTTCTGTTTTCCACATCTTCCCGGACCGAGTCGCCAGATGGTTCCAACTGCGGCCTATTAAGGTGGTTAAGTCTGAGAGTAGTCAGATCTTAAAGGCTAGGCTGAAGCGGATTAATTTACGTTGGGTTCTGGCTGTTGGCGACTGCTTTTGACCTTTTCTTTTCAGAAATTGTTTGTACCCAAATTCTACGCGTTATTCGGTTTTTCTCCTGCGATGGACAGTGCTGATTCCTGTGCTTTCCCGAGTCAACAATGGAAGTGTTGGAGTGGTCCAAGATTCCGTTCCGATGCCTTCTTGTTTGACGCTGGAAGTTCAAATTGGTTTGCAACTTCCTTGACGCGTGCGATGCGGATGCCGGGTTACCTCACGTACAATAGGCCTCGTGTTGCATGCCATTGCCAGCACGCGTTAGCTCCAGAGTTTCTAGTATATGTATTATATGTACTTTTCATGCATGTATGACATCTAGTGTGCGAAGAAATATAATTGAACGGCTTCAGTTTTGAAGGCTTTTATGTATTTCTGTGTACTGTTTCTTAGTGGCGCACATTTGTGCATAATAAATAATCAAATAAATACTCCTAATGCTGCTTTCCGAGATTCGCTCTCTGAATTTTGCTCATGCCGGATTACTTGTGCCGGATTTTCTCTCCTTCACATGGTAATTAGACCTACTAACCCGGTCTCGTTTTCGCTATTTAACTACGCCCATGTTTGGGTTGGCTTGTGTTTAGACGAATGAAAATAAATAAATAAATAGCATGATATTCAGTCTTCTGTAGGACTGCATCTGCAAGTATTATATATGACATGGTACATGCAGAGGAAGTGTTGAAAGGGGAATTCGCTAGTGCAAGCGTAACTAAACGTAGTGCCGTTGTTTCATAGTTAGTTACAAAGCGTTTGTATTGAACGGCTATTGGTGGGTTAGAAAAGGGTGTTACTCCGATTCTGGGGTTCGCGAGGGTACGAATGGTGTAAGACTTCCTTCCCTGTGAGTACCCTCTGCGAGTCGTGAGTATAGGTTCAGTCAATTTTGGGCTTGACAATTTCATGCCATGTCAGGCAACTGAATACTTCATAGATTTTCTTGTCTTTGAGGATGTGACAAAATCGATGGAAAAGGCATTCAGAAAACGGAAAGTCGCTTGAGCATCCCCATACACCACGCTACTCTACAGTAATTATTCCGGCGAGTTGTTAGCAATGTCGAGTTCCTCAAAGGCACAACACGATAATTACGAGGTACCCGTTTTCATTCGAAAAGCGGAAGTATAGGTTGGGAACAGTTCATCAGTAGCGAAGAAAGTGAGAGATTCCGAGGAAAATATGGCTTCTTAAGAGTAGGGGGAATAGAGGTTGGACTAGATTGCCATGGCAGAAATAACGTGGAAGGGGTATTCAGTTAACGAGTTAACTGTTAACGAGTTTTCAGTTATTGCAATTGCACAAAGAGCTGACTACATCAAGCCAGAACTGTANNTGTTTTTCACTGTCGCTGTGGGTCACGACAATTTGTTTGAACTTCCTACTTGGGTTTCCTTGTGAACGGTGCAGCCCCTACAATGCCAGTGAAACTCGTCTGAGGATACACACCGGCTATGAGCCTTTATAACTCCCCAACCGAGCCGTTTTCCAACCTAATAGTGCCAGATATGGTATGCGCGGAGGCCTCCAATCATCGTGTGGGGAGAATCTAATAAAACATTTTAATGACATTTGAACATTAAAACATTTGAAAAACTGTGCCTTTAACCAAGGTGTCGAGTGGATTCGCTGCACATTACGGTCCAATGCAAGAGCTCATAAGTAAACATCCTTCGCGGGACTGCGCGTTTCGGTATTTTGAGTAGAGTGGAGTGTCCCTTTTTGGCACCGTTGTTTCATAAAATGTCGTCAAAGATTTTTGTATTCTGCTTATAAACATAGTTCAGTTGGCATGGCATTGAACTTGGTTATTATTGTAGAAATGTTATCCCAGTTATGATTTCTTGAACTAAATTGGCTTATGCTTGAAGGAACAAGGTTCACTTACCGGTGGCCAAAAGTCGGATGAACGTCGAAGTTCGCGACTTCCTGTTACGTCCGCTATTGATTTGAATTGAGAGGGTAGATTGTGTCGATGAATTCTGTCTGGGTCCCCGTCTTTCGTCATGGCTTGACCTAAAAAATATATCGTTATGAGAGTTATGTAGAATAGTACAGCAGCTAATCCAATGCTAGTCGCCTTCATTCAGGATTGATTATCATTTGGGAGCAGAAAACACACTGTATCTGCTCACAAAGTGGACTCGGTGAACATGCAATGAACGGCATGTTTGGAATTGTCTAGTAGTGTTTTGGCTCATACATGATACGAATTAAGTGCAATTTCTGAAGGAAACTGAACTGTAATTAATTTGTCAGAATTTTGTATTTCTAAATAGTAATCACTCGCAAAAAACTGCATTGGATCATGCTGGATGTACGTTCGAATAGTTACGGCGCCTTTTGTGCTTTGAATTATGTTCTTTGTGCTCTAAGAATTCGTATCCTGATGTGAAATTGGTTGCATTATCCGAGATTATGAGGGTTGGGTTACCTCTCATTGCTACAAAACGGCGTAAGACATTAAGAAACTCTTCCGCACTTAAATTATCTACTATTTTTAGATGTACTGCTCCCGTTACCATCCACGTGCAAAGCAGTATTCACTTCTTTTGTTCCCTCCCACGATCACTTGAAAGGGGCCGGCTAGGTCGTTTCCGACATGCAGAAAAGTTCTCGATGATTGTGTTCGTGATTGCGGTGGTGGGGGAGAATTGGGTAGTAATATGGCTTAGAATTCAATTTTTACAGTATTTCAGTAAGATAGTGATTTCTAGAAGAATTATTGGTCCTCGGGTTTCTTCAGCTCAATGTTTAGCTCGAATTCTTCCTCGGCATCTGATAACACCGATTGGATCTGTATATAATTGCAAATTGCGTAAAGTCGTGGATCCTTGCGTTCGTATTGCCTTCTGGGCAAATCGTATCACGAGCTTATCAGCTTGTGATGGGTCAAGTGACTGTGTTGATGTCAAGGGCTGTCTGTCATGAGAGAAATAGGCTCTTCTTGGGTATATCTTTAATTTTTATTGAAACTTTGTTACAAATAATGCTTTTGAGAAATTCAAAACTAAGGTCGGTGTTCTTTTCAATATTCCTATTGACGAATACTTTTTTCAAATAATATCGGGGTTGTGGCTCTTTGTCAGACTTCATGGTTATAACAAAGAGAAGGTTACTTTCTGCACTGTATTTGTGTGCGTTTTCTTCTGCTTTCCATGAGAATTGTGGCAGTTCGCAGTTCGAGCCATTCAGACCTAATCTTGAGTAGAAAAAATGGGCGTGTCCACCAAATGTGGTTATTCAGCACAACCCTTGTTCGATCTTTTGTTGCACAGTCTGTGGGATTCAATTTCGACGGTATTTAAAGCAAATGACAGAGGTTGCCCTTGTCTGCCCACTCCTGCATTCTTTTTCGAATTTCTTGACGACGATTGCCGGCAAAGGCCCCCATTTTTGTTTTTGCTTAAACCCACGTAGGAACTACTTGGGAGTCGCTAAAAATATTATCACTATTGAAAATATGTTTGCTCAGTTGACATTTTCGAATAAGAGATTGAGTCGAATCGTCTGTCAAAAGAACATTGCCCACGTGAGGATTATCATTTAGTTGGATTTTGAAATCTTGAAAATCTTTATCGAGACTCGACTGTTTCTCAATTCCAACCTTATAGAAATCCTAGTAGGAATGGTGAAGCGTTCATTCCGAATGGTAATCCACAAACTCGCAATTTCCTAAGATGGTCTGGAGTTGGAGGTTGAAAAGTATCTTTGATCCATAAGAAGCGAGCCGTATCTTTTCCTGTTTCTTGCAGATGAATCATATGAAACGCTTTTTTGAAACGTCAGCTATCATGATTTTGGATTCTATTCTTGACCATATAAGAACGCCACATAAATTGGGTAGTATGCAAGGTCCCTAATGGATCGCATCGTTGAGACTAAGTTCCCCTTTCCTTTCTTTGGAGGCGTCGAGAACGGTGAGCGTCTTGATTGTGGAATTTTCCGTTTTGATAACTGCTTTATGGGTGATGTAGTAACATGGCGTGTCGTTGTCAGTAGGGAACCGGGGGCCTCTCCAATAAAATTTTTCTTGAGTTGATTTCCAGTTGTAGTACTGAGGGTTACGCTCCTTCATTTTGAACAGTTGATGAAGTCTGATTAAAGCAAGTGTACAAGTGTTAACGAGGCGCATTCTGTTTGGCTTCCAAGGAAAACACACAGAAATACTGTTGCCTTTGAAACGGTCTTAAGGGAAAACGGATAAAAGGTTCGTTGAGCTGCATGACAGAATTGAAGTAACCCATTGCTATGAGTATTTCGGGAATTACTGTATCATTGTTCATTTCTAAGAATCTGAGAACTTCTTCCACGAAGAGGTGTTCGTGAATGAAGAGCTCATTCTCAGGAAGCACCGATCCCATTAGGAGAGGGGTGTGATTCGATCCTTTGTCAGAGGTTTGACGTTTGAAAATCTCCTTCCGTATCTAAAAGGGAGTTGATTACTCTCTAAGTTTACCTCTTCTCAGTTTTCCCTCCAAAAGTGTTAACCGTGATTGTAGCTCCGCTCAGTACATTGAGAGTTGTTCTGAAGGATTGTTTTGACGCCGAATCTAAAAGTGCTATTACTGTCGTCATCTCTTGATTGTGATCCGTTTGAAGTTGTACCGGGACCATTATTAATTGTACAGCATTACTATTTGTAAACGTAACCGTGAATCTGTCATCGCTGTCTTCTGTACGTTTTTTTTTGAATTTGTAAGTTGACTGTCACGAATCTTCCTTGACGCTCAGATTCCGGAACGGCAAGTGTGCACGTTCGGGTGTCTCGCTTTCGACAGGCCCTCCTGACGATGGTTGAGTTGATACTCTCTGTCATATCTATTTGATGTGAAATCCTTATTTCTGTCAAAGCTACTGTTGAGCAAATAACTTCTGCCTCCCACGCCCTCCCGAATACTGTATACACTGAGGACAAGAAATGCAAGCCGCAAAGACGATCCTGATAAAAAATCATCAGTCAACGACGATTACATTGGAGTACATTAAATCTACGAGCAAAAAACTGAAGTTATTTTGAAAAGCTGAAGTAGAACTGAAGTTAGGACAAATATGGAGTATGAAAAGCGTGAGGTCGCCTAGGACAAGCTTCACTATAAGACAACGCGAAATCCCCCATACTCATTAGTCCAAAGGGTGACCTAGTCAAAAAGATCATACAACAAGCACACGATAATTATCATAAGGGAGTTGCTCACACAATGTCAGCAGTCCGTGAAGAACACTGGATTCCTCAGTTACGCCGACAAGTAAGGAACCTAAGGAAACTATGCGTGAAATGCAAACGATTTAACGGACTACCTTACAGTTATCTTGGAATGACGGACTCACCATCGGGACGCGTACAAAAACACGACCGTTTGAACACATAGGGCTCGAATTCTTTGACTTACCCCTACAAAAGAGGACGATCAGCTCACAAAAACGTACGGCTGCATTTTTACATGCGGCGTCACACGGATGGTACACTTGGGGGTATTACAAAAAAGAAATATTGGGGCATTCTTTAATGCAAACAGAAGATTCTTCTCTCGCCCTGGAGTCCCGTCGACGATTACGTGCGATAGTGCGCCATCATTTCTGCTAACTGCCAAGATCCTCGACAGCGTGAACACCAGCAAACCCAAAGCGAACTCTTGGGCAGCCAAGGGATCGAGTGGAAGAACATTACCCCGTACGCCCCTTGGCAGGGCGGATTTCATGAGCGACTAATAAAATCCATTGCGGCGATTGGTCCAGCAAAATAACTTACGATAGCCTTGTAACCGTCATCACGGAATAGAGGGCACGATCAACACGAGACCACTCACTTTTTAAGAAACGGACATCGAGTAGTTCGATTCTGTTAGGCCAACTGATCTTCTACAAAACAGATTGAACGTTATGTTCCTCTTCGAGAATGTGGACTTCGACCCTAAAGATTCCGACCACGCCTACCCGATGGAATCTCCTGCGATCGAACCAAGAAGACAGCCGGGAGAAGCTTCAAAATCATCCGTAAGCCTCACCAAGCAGTTTGGGACGACACCAATACTTGAGCGCCCTTCGCGAACAGCACAAGGTCCAAATGTCAAAAAATAGACGGAACCCCACTTTCTCTTAAAAAGAGGCTATTGTCCAGCGATCCAATACTACCGCGAAATAAGTGGAAACTAGCATAATAAACTTAAAACTATCAACAGATGGAACAATCAGGGGAGCAGAACTTATCACATCAAAGGAGGAAAATAAAAAGGCCTATTAACCTTCTCATACAAATGGAAATCAGTAGCGAAAACAGCGACACAGAAAAACTCACCGAAACGGGCGAAGAGGGCGAAACGGGAGGACATTTCTATTACTTGCAACCGCGCAACTCACGCGTGCAACAGAAGCAGTTAGTGAATTAAGCAAGTTATTCTAACATCGAATATACATAATGAAGCGTTTAACATCCTAAGTTAGTAACCATAACGAGCAATTTTCGCGAACAAACGCACAAGTAGTGCAAAAAACCGCAGAGTGAAAGAAAGACGTGTGACGTCAGACATTGAACGGCAGGAAAATGCAATGCGAACAGCACAGTCTGCAATTTATGCACAGACAAGCATTGGTAGGGTTGAAAAATCGTCGGCAAATAAAGAAAAGCGAAAAAAACAAAAATAGCTCAATTATTACAAAAAAGAAAATAAGCCGTCGATTTGCCCCGTTACCACGAGTTGTACGCAATGGTACACGAATCACTACCATGCTCGCCACCAACTGTATTGTAGTCATGCAAGCTACTACATCGAGCTTCGTTCAAATCCTCTTATCCAGCCCATGCATATTTTGAATCCTTCGACACCTTTTTGCATATGTCATCGTGCAAGAGGCTACATCGAGTTCTGCTCTCATACTCTCAGCCAGCCCATCGCATTATTCATATCTTTCTATCATTTTTTCGTTTTGCCATCATGCGAGGTGCTACATCGAGTTCGGCTCTCATACTCTTACCCAGCCCATCGCATTTTTCATATCTTTCTATCGTTTCTCGTTTTGCCATCAGGCAACATGCCACACCGTGTCGGTTTATGCTGGGCTGCTTGGTATCTGCTCGTTTCTGCGTACTTACTTTCAATTAATGACGTTTACATCATGCGTACCTCTCATGCATTTGAACGATTTACTCTCAGTTTAGTGCCACACGCGCAACGAACGAACGAAATCAAGCGCAGGATAACTGTTGATCAGCAAGACGTCAAGTACGGATCCAATCGATATCGTGCAAAACTAGGAGCAGAAAATAAAGTGTCATCAGAGGAGCGCTACGACGACTTCCACCGCACCCAGTCCCAGTTGAAAAAATTGAAAGAAACACTACCGCCCCTACCAACATCTGATCAGCTGTACAACGACAATCAAATGTTGCAGTGAAACAGCGTATATTGTTGTGCTCATTGATAACGTTAGTTCTAACATTGCGTCTTCTTCTGATACTTCTTTGACAACAGCGATCCATGCCCAGTTCTAGTAAGAGAGGCTCGTATTAAGGAGTTGACAGGCTCGTATTAAAGAATTGACCTTCTGAAACTATTCTCTACGTTTGCAATCCTTGCGGAGCCACCTCTCTCTTCTTTTCTCATCAGTATCGGACTTAATTGCGACGAAGGCAGTTTCTGAAAAAGCATGGAACTCTCGTTAGCACCCCGCCATACTCTGGTGTTTCTGGGAAAAAGCTTCCGCTCCCTACTCCGCAAAAGGCCATCCAAAGGATCATAGAAGACTGCGAGAAAGGCGAAGGACTTATATACGGAAGACAGAACGCAGAAAGACGTTAAGGCAGAATGCGGCACTTCAAGATCGCGGTCGACACGACACTTCAAACAAACATGTTTGCGAATCACTCGATCGAATCATCGGCAGACTCAATCAAATGCAACAACCACAAAACACCCAGGACGGATCAGACAAACAGCGTTCTGATAAGAGTTGAAATTACTTGTAAGTACTTACACCAGCTGGAGCTGTTATTTTTCTGTGGATCGACTCTTAATTTGGCACGACTGTCTTTCGTTCACCGGGTTTTCTGTTGAGTGACCTTCTCAGGCGTTACTTGCTAATAAATAGTCGCTCGACGGTTCGATGTTAGGACACCGGTCAGAAACCCGGTCTAACACCGGGTTTCTGATGGGTTTTTTTTNTTTTTTTTCTCGTCGTCGTTCTGCTATCAACCATGAAGTAAACATTTGATTTTGTCTCATTGGGGTAGCAATAAAGCCGTTAGTAATCTAGAAAGGACGTAGAAATGCTGCTATAGGTTGAATTTGACAGACTTTCGTTAGTCTGACCTGAGGCAGATGTGCTTCCTGGGCCCTAGAAGCGCAGCGTTCTAGAAGAGTTTATTGCTGGTCCTGAGAAAGCGCATTGTTGTCGTTTTGATCAGATAGGTTGGCACTCTCTAAACATTTGTTGGATTCGATTGGTATTTAGAAACTTGGACTCGTATGTCGGCAATAGTTAATGCCCAAAAAAGATCCGGATGAGCATCACTCCCAAATGTATAGTTGGTGGTTCTGCTGTAACTTTGGACCTTGTGTTATACAACTCTTTTATTCTCTTAGTTACTGACGATACGATGTTCCGACAATGAGCGAGCTACAAAATTGCTAAAGTCACTTTTACATCAAATTCCTCTGACATCGTTACTACGGCTACCAAATTGAGCCTTGATCATCGACTTGGCTTTGAGTACCTACACATCTTTCGCTCACCTACGTCTTTGTGGGTCAGCCTGTAAGTGAAACTGACAGCCAGACCTCCCTCGACTCCGAGATGAGGCTCCTCTGTTCTGCCATTTGTTCTGCCATTCTGCCGGGATCCCAGACGTGGCCGTTTGTGGGCTGTTCCTCATGCCACTGGGAGAAACAGAAAATCGTAGCGACGTCCCGTCGGAGCCAGACTAGAAGTTGCGAAATCCTCTCCCCTCGCGAAGCTCTCCTGAGCCTTTATACACCAAGGGTGGAGCTAACGATACATCATGAATCGAGAGTTCAGGGCACAAAGTAATCACCATCATGTTCTACCACTTTTGGCAACCTACGAGGAAAGCCTTCGTTCCTTTTGCGAAAAACTGCTCCAGCTGGTTCGAAAAAGTTGCTCAACTACTGGTCCATTCCATTTTTATCAGCAAACGTTTTTCCATGCGTGACAATAGAGAGCGATAGGAGAAGGTTGTGGTCTGCTAGCGAATGGTCTGGGCTGGACTGTAGGTATGGTAAAATTCCCCATCAAAGTCGAGCACCCTCTGGCGAAGACTCTTGCAACGCGTGGTCGAGCGTTGCTGTGCAGGAATCAGATTGGACCATAATTTGGAAGTTCTTCGCAATTTCAGCAGTATCTAGTCTACTCGAATGATAGCAAAACAGGTCTATTTTCCTGGTAACATCTTGGCAGCACTCGTATGAATGATTCCCTTGCAGTCCCACCTGAATGATTCCCTTGCAGTCCCACCAAACCGCCCTCTAGCGGGTGAAGACCTGCCTTCGCGTGCTTCTGCGGCTGCTCACCCTTGTCAAACCAGTGTTGTCGGAGCTCTCTTATCCAGTCTGTAGGGTCTTCGAATAGAAAAAGTGTATTTTTGGCGTTTGATCGCGAAAATGATCTTTATTAATCGGGCACTAGAGCTGTGATCGATGCTTAGTGTTGAAGCACGGAACCGTTCAAAGATAATTACGCCTGACGCCGTCGGTGGTTTTGGAACCACCACATAGAACGGATTTGAAGCGTCCCTCGACTTGCAGCAGGATCACCTCGTTTTCTGCACGGCACAGAAATCAATTCGTCGGGGCTCTGAAGCCCCTGCTAACTCGAACGGCGTCCCGCTAATGTGCCAGCATTTAGCCCATACGTTGCGTGAATCTTGAATTAGCGTAGTTACCCCCCGATGCCGTCCTTGCACCGAATACCTCGCTTACTTTTCACATTCGATGGTCCTCCGCTGTGCTCCAAACTCCCACGACATTCAGATGAGAGCACTTCCTATTGTGTCGCAGTGGTGTTCGTGTTTCTCCACCAGCCAAGTGTGCTCTGTTCGGGATCCTCCCTGATCAAAATTGGGAAGCTCTCTTAACTGCTTCTATCAGTCAAGCTGGTTGTGATTTGTCGCTCAATTCAGGGTCGGCGGACCAGCTCTTAAAGTCGCATATCACAAGTTATGGTTTTCGCTGCATCACTAGCTCCAACCTAATTAATAAATTGGAGAAGCAGGAGCAGGTAGCTTGCAGTTAAGAACCATTACTGAAACAATAGTAGCAGCAAATGAGTAAAACGTGATATATCTCGAAGAACTGATACCAGTGATACTGCCTCATTCAGTTAGATATGAAGTTGTGAACAGTGAGAGTTGTGAGCGAGCGAGTGTAATCCATTTTGTTATTGTAACTGTTGATTTATGGTAGGTGTTCTCGTTGCATCGACTAAGTACCAAATCTTTTTATTGCGAGTGACTTTTGTTGCCATGCATTGAGCCATAGCAAAAGTGGTCAAGATTTATGTGCAGTCATACGTAACCATCATACCAGAAATGCGGGCGAATATGTAAATTCGAAGATTCTCATTTCAGAAGAAAAGCGATCCTAGGTCGACCACCAAAGGTCAAAACGTTAAAGGTGGAAGGAAGAAAGGGGTGGGTTTTCGATCTGAATGACAAATCCCTGACAGATTTTGGTTCGCTAGCGTCAGATATGCAGTTTTCTTCTATGTTGGAAAACAGGGTCTATTTTTGGAAATTAGAAGATAGTGAAAATCCCGCAGTGATGCCGAATTGTGGGCACACCTTTAGCCTAGTATGAAACTTATACCTTCGCTTCCCTAGCATCGACCTCATTACATCTCGTAAATCACTCACTCACTCAGAAACTCACTTTTCCTCAGCTATCTGTTGTTCTCTTTTACAACCTTCATTTTTCATTTGATCAATAACTAATATCGGCATGGAACGAATAGCCGGTTGTGCATTAAACGACGGAGTTGCACGACTTCCAGTACCTATTGGCTCCAGTTGGTTGTCCAACAAAGTAAAAAGAAACCTGTCGCGGTTCATGGCCACCCTTTGGACTGCAATCCGCATCGATAGCACGAGCCCACAAACCTATCCGCTCACCGGACCACCACGCCCTACTTGCGCCCCGAATAGGAGGACGGACCAACCCCCGAGGCCCATGGGATGTTGGCTGAGGCAGGCTCACGGACCTTGCCACGGCGTTCCCAAGCCGTAGACTCCGCGACCGGATCCTTCCCCCGCCACAGGGACCAGCTGCGACACAACCTGCACTTCCCGTCGCTACCATAGTGCCCTACCTCTCCTACTTCCCAAGGCCAGCACAGAATTAAGGGTCACTTGTTTATTACACTACTACGCAATACACTACAATTATACTACATCTACAAGATACCAAAAGGGGAAAATACATAGAGAGACTAGACCCACGGGCCCAGAGCCAAAGAATATTACACGAGAATCAGAAACAATGAGAATCATCAGGGATAAAGCACACCTTTAAGTATATCAAAATACGCAATATACACACATAAGTAAAAGGCGCATATGCAAGAGTGAGTACACGACACTCACGTGCCCCTCAACCTCCAGGCTCCTTCCGAGGCAAACTCCTTTAGCTGTCCGTTCCAGGCCCCCATTGGCCTCGATGGTCTTCTTGCCTTCCTTCCTACTCAGTATCTAACAAGTGAGAACTGTGCGCCCTCGGCGAGGGGCACTCGGATACTGGTTGGGCTTACACTGGCGCTCCGTTGCCATATAGGCAACATTACAGCTTTGCCCGGCTATATCGACCAGCAGCCAACAGCCAGCCGGTGCGATGCATGACCAGAGCCGACTGGTTAGACTATGCGAAGGAACGCGCACAACGCGCGCATACGCACCGCGTTGTGGCGGCCGAGCAAAGATGGGCCGGGGCGCGCGCGGTACGTTCGGCGACCACTGTCCATCCGCGACACTCCAAAGGCAAGCGAGAAGCCCGCCCAGGGGTGAGCGGGGCCACGGTGCCCCTCCAGGGACAATACACACACCGGACCCCCAGAATTAAGGCCAGCCAGGTGGAAACCTCCTAAACACAGATGAACAAAATTGACCCTCTTGCCGTAATGCCTGCACACACCTTCCTACCCTAGGTTAATGTCGTGTCATGAAGACAGGAAGGAAATGAGAGAATAGAGATCTTGAGGCTAAGAAGGAGAAAGATGAACATGCGAATAGTGCATTAAGGATATACAATGAATGCCATCACGTGCGGCTCTGAGTACCATATAAACCAGTAAACCAGAAAAGATGATAAAATACTACGCACTAAATACTCACAAATACACTAAAAAGTAAGCAAGAGTTCTTCGAGCAACTCACTAACACACCCTTAAGAAGACCTAAGGCTGATTTAAGACGAGAAATCAAGCGTAGAGTAAGACTGTCCACGATGGATGACTTGACTTGTCGCTGCCTTCACTATCTTTCCTCGACGACCACTCGAGTGCATGTACTGACTGACATGATGTTGACTCTGACGTTGACGTTGAACTCGATGACGTTGACGCGACCGCGGCTCCTGCATCGAACCGTAACCGAACTTCCAACCATCAACGATCGAACTCGACATCGACCAACACCAGATGCAAGGCTGCAGAATGGGGTCACTGATGATGGGTAAGCGAAAACAAGTGATAGAGGCTGATAATGAGCGGCAATAGTAGTCCTTCTTATATATAAAGCAGTAACTTGGTTTGTCGGTTTGTCGGTATGTCGGTTTGTCTGTATGTCGGTATGTCGGTTTGTCGGTCTGTCCGTCCGGGTTACTTTGTGATTATGATAAAGGTAGTGATATGGAAAACTTATTCTTCTTATATAAAAAGCAGTCAATTTGTGGGTAGGCTAATGGAGTAAAGTGAGCACTGCGGAGTGAAGTGAGTAATATGAAGTGAGGTGGATGATTCAAATTGTGANCTCTACTGTACTGTAATGGCAGTACTTCGACACTGGTATAGCAATATTAGACGAAATTCCTCGAGCTCTTTGTGCTAACACTGGAACCCTAGCATGTCAGTAGGTTTCTGGCCATCAGGGAACCTTGAATGCGTATTTTTCTCAACAGTGGAAGCTTGAAAACTTGGCGGGTGATTTGGGATGTTACGTTATCGTAGATACTTGGTAACAAGGCTCAATAAGAATTTGTGGTGGTAGATATTGAGCCATAGAGCAAAAAAGCAGAAGCAGAAATATAGGACATCTATACTCTTCTCGGATCAATGCAGAAACTCGATGTTTTCGTAGGTGATGTGGGGTGTAAAGCGCCGTAGATGCTCAGTGGCAGGGACTGTTAGCAATTGATAAGGTCTGACAAGTTCGCAGAGAAGTTAGGAGTTACTCAGCCGAGAAAACTCATCGTGTTATAACTGAAGCCTTAGTTTCTGGTAGATGATGTGAAGTGTGATGAATCCGTACATACTTGGTGACAGAAACTGATAAAGGATAATGAGATTTGAAAAGAACCTATAGAAGGCCAGAGCTACTAAGTCGGTGCCTCTCATGGCGATAGTGAAAGCTTTACACCTTGACGGGTGATGTACGATCCGTCGGTGGGCCGTGGACGGTTGGTGGCAAAGACTTCTGACAAGCGCCATTAATTGTCACCAGATCTCTTCTACTTCTCGTACGGCATTGGAGTATTGCTGCTCCTGTCTTCAAGATTGCAGATAATGGATTATGTTATGTTATGTTATGTTGTGTTTCAAGGATACAAAACAAAAACATTCGTAAATAGCAACTAACAGTTCATCCAAACCTATGCACCCAGGAAGAACAGAACGGTTAACCTCAAGGAACTAGAAGGTTGAGGCTTTGGATAATGCTGCAGCTATGTATCGTTCGAACACCTTTGAAGAGCCTGGGATCACGAAATTCCTAGTCACTTTGTTGAATAAACTTACAGCACGAAACGTAAAGCCCTCAGCTCTGACCTTTGTTCTGGGCCTCGAAAGAAATATTTTGATTGGACCTCCTCTAGTTCGAAAATTGCATTGTCTTATAAATTTCAAACGGGCCGAACTCATTGCATTGAGACAGAAGCTTATAAGCCATACATACGTCAAATACTTCACGCCATGATTCAAGAGTGGATAGATTGAAATACCTATTACGGATGGGGGCCTTAGGAATTCTAGAATAGAGAAAACTTCCAGTTCGGGGTAGGATTTTGCGTGTGGAGTTGATTTGCACTTTTTCTATGGCCTCAGCATCCTTTTTCCTGATGGAGTAAAACGAGGGGGGGTGGGGGACACACGAGGGGGCGGATGTACGTCTTGTAAGCACGAAGGAGTATGGACTGATTCGTTGAGGAAAGTCCCTTAAAAATATGGAACGTGCGCAAGCGGGCTAAGTTACAACGATTACGTATGTGCGTGGAGAAGTCAAGAACATTAGTGTCAGACCAAGTGTGTCAAACCAAGATCCCTGACAACATTCACATAAGAGATCGTGACGCCATCCAGTACATATGGACGGAGGGCAACCGCTGGTGAAGCCCCAATCCTCATACACATTGTCTTATGTGGAGCTAAAGGAAGCTGCGAAACCATAGTCTAGTCATTGAGGAGCGTGATAGCTTGTTGGAGATCTTCAATATCCTCAGTTTAGTTAAAGTCTTATAGATCTTAACATCGTCGGCATACATCTTGGTTCTAACATTCAGACCATCGAACAAGCTAGGTATCTCTGAGGTAAAAATATTGAACAAAACCGGAGAGAGGACACCCCCTGTGGCACACGCTCAGCGCATCTCTGATTCCAGAGTAAGTATGTCGGACTCGGACCTGAAAGGTCCTACCAGAGAGGAAGTTGGATACCCACTTCACAAGATCAGGGTGAAATCCGAGATTCGTGAGCTTATTAAGCAATTTCTTATGCGATACCCTATCAAACGCCCTTGCAAAATCAAAATATACCACATCACTGCAACAGTTATTATCAAGGCCACTGGTCCAATCTTCAAGGCTCTCAATCATATTTGACCGACCGGGTATGAAACCATGTTGGGCTCTAGGGGCTATATGGCATGCTGCAACATATTCCAGAGTGTGCGCCTTGATGGTCTTCTCGAATTGCCTGCAAAGCAAGGATGTTATGCTAACAGGTCTATTATTCGCCGGATCCGAAGATGGTTCTTTTTTGAGAACAGGAGCAACAAAGGAGTGCTTCCACCGTCAATGGACCTCCCTCTCATCAATGATTGATTGAATAAGTACGCTAATGTTCCACAGATGACAGCAGCAACCTGTTGTATGAAATGTAACGGAGTGAAGTCCGGAGTTATCGAGAAGCTCCTGAGCCAGCCCATTATTCGGTCATAGAGTCGATCCTTATGAAACCAGGGCAGTTCTTTCATAGACCACGTCAACGGTGAGGCAAATTCAGGAACTATACCATCATCATTTGGAAATGATTTTGAAAACTGGTCCGCAAAAACGTTTGCTTTGTCTTGTGCTCTGTATACCATTAGGTCGCCACTTTTCAGAGAACCAATGCACTTTTTATCTTGAATTTTGCTATTCAGATATTTGTAGAAACTACCACTGCATCCGCCTCAACAATTTTTCCTCTACGTAACGACTGAACTTCTTGAGACGAGTGAGAAAAATATCCGTGAATCTTCTATATTCAATCCAGTCCCCAGTAGGCCTAGCTTCGAGAAAAAGACAATCGCGATGCTCATTCATTTTTTACAGATGATCCGGTAGGGGAACAGACTTGAAGGAGGCTTCCTTACTCCAAGGAACATAATAATCAATGGCTGCATGTAGCACTGACAATAGCAATTCATACTTCTCTTTGACATCGTTGCACGTTTTAAACAACTCGACCCAGCGTATGCGCAAGGGATCACTCGTTAAATCCCTGAAGTTACAAGCAGAGAATACCCTACGATAAACAGGTGAAGTCAAATAGTCGTACACTGAAACCTCAAAAGCAGCGCTACTGTGATCACTGTACCCTACAGGAGGAAGGATCTGTAAGTTCCTTATTAAGTCTAACTTAGAGCTGAAAACCAATTCTAAGATCTTTCCTTGCCTGGTTGGGTCACGGATATGTTGGGTCAACTCATGACAGTATATTAGTTCGCGAAATGACGCCACTGGAACAATCTGATTCAGCGCAAAATTTTTGGTAAAGTTCAGGCATATTGAAATCACCAGCAATTACGGTAGGCAACTCTTAGATCACCAAGGACTTTAATTAGTTGCACAGTTTCCACTGCTATACATGATGGCACCCTGTACACAGCTATAACTCGGAACCCTGAACACTACTAAATACGTCGGCGCAAAGTATTTCGTATGCATCGGAAACAGATTCCATGAGAACCCTAACCACGGACAGCCTGGAGTGCGCTAATAGAACAACGCCACCCCCACTCTTTCTAGGACGATCACATATAAGGACATCGTAATCCTTGCATAAAGCTCAAAGAATAGAAGATGTAAGATGACTTGGTTTCAGCCAAGTTTCGGCAAAAGCGTAGAGATCATATCTGCAACATAAAACCCTTTGGACCTAGACCGAGTTCCTTGATATTGACCTCACGTTACAGAAAAAGAATTTTAGACAATTCAACACAAACCGCGGAGATGTTACTAGTTTTCCTGGGTAGCATAAGAAGTGGATTGTGGGTCAGGAGGCTCCACGTTATCCCTCGACAGGCTAGAATTACCCGCAGATGTAGAACGGGCTTCCCCGTCACCAATGTTACTGCTTAAAAGACGCCTTCGCCCTCGCTCCTCCCTGGGGAGGGATTCCCTAATGTAAATCCCTCGCTCGGGGAAATATCGGAGTTCAGGCGCCCTATTCAAGACAGTACGCTGGAACAATTGAGAAGGGAGAACCACTTTTAGTAACCTACTTTTCCCTTGTAAAGGTCTGCCCATTCTATACATCGTTACTGGGTTACACTCTATTCCAAGAAAGTCAAGTACATTACAAACGTTATGAAAATCGTACGACAATCTACCTCTAACATTCGAAGAAGCGGCTTCAGGAATACCAGATATTACAATAGATCTCAATCTCTCGACCTCTTCATACGGTACTTCATGGCTTGGGCTGGAGCTGTTTTTGGTGTCGCTCTGGCCTGATGGTGGAGCTTGACTACTGGATAACTAAATACTACTGCTCATCAACTCATCAGCATTTTTGTCGCGCAAGTTCTTAATCTGTTTCTTCAGGTTCAAGTTCTCGGAACGTAAAAAGCTCAATTCTGCCATCAAGGCACAAAGAACATTCTTCGCAGAGTCAGTGACCCGCCTAGACCTAGATATCTCCTCCGGCTTGCTCTGGAGATTCAGCCAACATGACTTTTCCTGAGCAGAGATGTTGGCACTTGCCGTACGTGAAGCAACAGTTACATCCAATACATACACAAGTGCAGCAATGTCGAGTGATATAGAAACTCACAGTAATCAATAAGTGGGATATATCGCACTCAAGAAGAGGAAATACCTGTCGTAGTGGCAACACTAAAAGAGAGGGTGCCCAGTTGCCACTCTGAGCGTCGTCAATATCCGATACACAAAAAATAGGATGCAATATAACCAGCGACGCAAGAAAACC